GGCCGGCCTGTCAACTCCTGTAGCCACGCCAGGGACAGGCCATCCTTCCAACCACCCCGGGCGTCCCATGAGCTCGACCAGGCCCTCCTTTCTTCCACTGTCCACACCCTCCCTGCACAGCCGCACAGCCTCAGCCACCATCCCTGTGCTGGCAAAGCCTAAGCCCCGCCCCCAGTCTGGCCACTCTCCCAGGAGCCGCCTGCCCCCGGTCACCTTTCCAGGTGCCTCACAGGCTCAAACTGGCATCTGTAGCACCAAACGCTTGCACTCCCCCAGTCCCGGGGCTCCTCCTGGCCCCTCCACAAGCCCGGCTGGACCCAGCCTGACTGTGGCTCAGCAGGCCACTCTCCCACCATCCTCCCCTGCACCTGGCCTGGGGTGACACTCCCAGTGATCGGCCACACGAGGGAGGTCACTTTAATCAAGATCTTGGTGGAGGCCTTCCTCCCACCAGAGGCCCCCTCCTTCCTAGGCAGGTCTGCGTTCTTCCATCAGCCACTCACCCACCTGTCCATCCATCATCTACGCATCCACCCACTATCCGTCTGCCCGACAAGCAAGGAAGAAAGCCCTGAGTCAGAGCGCGCTCCGGCCCGGGGCAGCACCCCGCACGCCGCGCCGCCCACCTGGCGATCTCGGCGATCTCGGCCGTCTGCACAATGAAGGCGTAGGGGTCGGGCTCTTCCTCCCCCTCGTCTGTGTCCCGGAGGCCAGGGGCCCGAGGCCGGGCCCGGCCGGAGCTGCCCGCCCGGGGGGTCTGCGTGGCCGCTGAGGCGTGGGAGCGCGTGTGCCTGGGGGAGCCGTGGTGGGAGCCGTACTCCTCCTCGGAGGTGGACGCGCAGTCTGAGCCCTGCTGCCGACGGCGTGCGTCTTGGGTGGGTCAGTTCCGGAAGCGAGAACAGAACAGACCCATGCTCAGTAGCCTGTGGGGGCCCCAGAGGCCCTCTGGGAGGGCCCAGCGCTGCAGGGCAGACCCGACCGCAGCCAGCACTCCTGCCCCACAGGCCCTCGGCTGGAGCACCGGCAGCTGCTGTTCTTGGGGCTCTGCAAGGCCACCACCGGCCCATTGGCACCCAAGCATTTCCTCAGGCCTCCAGGGAACAACCCAGAGCTGTGGCTAGTGGGCCAGTGGGCAGGAGCCATGTCCTGGGAAGAGGGTCCACGCCCATTCGATGGCAGCCAGGGCCCTCGGTGGTAGGGAAGTATGCAGACACCCCAAATAGGGGTAAACCTCTCCACGTGGGTCAGCGCCAGCCCTGGGCTAGACTACAGAGTGGCTAGGCAGCCCACAGAGCCCAAGCTCAGCCCTCATGGCCCGGCGCCTTCCTGGGCCTGCACGGTCTCCTCAGGCCTGACCCTTGCCCGCCCCGTTCCCAAGCCCCTGCAGTGGCTATCAACACACACAGGAAAATGAGGAGGGGTCGGGGGTCGCAGGGGGTTTCAGCCAAGAAGCAGCATGTTGCTGGGCCAGCAGGGCCCACACCTCAAACCAGTGCCCTCAGAGGACAGGGCTGCTCCGGGCAGGTGAGGATGAGGCATCCAGCCGCCCAAGGCAGGGGCCGGCTCCGACGGCCACAGCAGCCTGTGCCCCTGCGCTGCACACACGGACCAGGGCTTCCTGGGGCCGCTGCTCACTGGTGCTGAGGGCTGACACAACCCTCCCCAGGCTACGGGCTGCATGGGCTCCCAGGGCCCCTGTGGAGCTGCACAAACACAGCAGCCGAGGAGAGAGGATTCTCTCTGGACCCTTGGCCCCTTGGACAGTGGACTTGGGTCTCCACACAAGCTTTCAGGCCATCAGCTTGCAGCCTGAAGTTCAGAACTCCAAGGAAGAGCGGGCAGGCCTAGCCTGCTGTCTGCAGCCACACAGGCACACCCAGGAGCCAGCAGGAGCCCCCCACCCACCCACATCCTGGAGACAGTCAGGGTCTCAGGACAGACTGGGGCTGTGGTGGGCCTACGGCTGGGGACACCCCAGGGTAGCGGTGTATGTCTGGAGACATGCCCACGATGGGAACAGGGTTTCCTCCAGGGCCAGCGCTGGGGGTCCTGCAGCCTGGAGTTAGGCTGGCACACAGCAAGCCACAGACCCACTGCCCAGCTGCCTGGGCCCAGGGCCACCCACGCGCTCCCAGCACTCACTGGGTGAGGAGTATCGGGCGCTGCCCGGGCGGGCCCTGCTGAAGGGCTGGTGGGGGGCCATGACAGAGTTGGCGGCCTTCCGGGCAACAGCCCGGGCCTCGGCCATGCTGGGCTTGCGGCTGGCGCAATGCAGCTCCACGCTGCGACCAGAGAAGCCGGCCCGGGCGGGGGCCACCTCAGAGTCGCTGGGCCCTGTGAAGGAGCCAGCCCGCTTCCGGGGCATGGCCAGGATGTCCAGGCGTGACAGCTTCTTGGCCTGCTCAGCAGCTGGCCGCACCCCCGGCTCGGGGTTGGCTGGGGCCCCCCGTTCTCCCTCTGCAGACTCTGTGTCCGAGGCATCCCCCAGCCGGGCCCGCCGCAGCCGGGAGGCTCGTGTGGGCCGCGGGGTGGACAGGCTGTTGGAGCGGGTCAGGGCCTGCTGCACCTTTTGGGCACTGCCGGAGCCGCGGCTTTGCTCTTCCCGGGCGGCTGGGGATGGCGGCGGGGCTGTGGGTTTCTGGCGGGGCCCTGGACGCCCTGTCCCACTGGCCCCAGAGGTCTCGTGGTCAGAGGTGATGGCATCTACACCAGATGCCCAGGCAAGGCCAGAGCCTCGTTCCTCGTCAGGGAAGTCTGAGGGACCTCGGGGCCTGTGGCCACACTGCACAGACAGGCACTTCACTGGTTCTACTCGATCCATATCCGTCATGCCCGGAGGACAACACTGCTTCTCTGAGAGAGACTCCCGGGCAGTGCCCGGGGTGACCCCTGCGGCATCCCGTACTGCTGGAGGGGACGGCGGCTTCTCCTTTGGCAGCCCTGTGGGCTGGGGGCTGGGAGGGCTGGGCCCATTCTTGCCACTGAGTAGGCTGAGAGTGCTGGCCGTGTCCACATCAGAGTCCCCAGACAGGGAGTCATCCAGGGGCCCTGGGGCACTACCTGCCTCGCCATTGACTTCCTCTGGGGGCTTGGAGAATAGTCGGGCCTCCAGGGCAGCCAGAGCGGTCTCTGTCTCCTTCAAGATCAGGTGGGTGTCCTGGGAGTGCGGGTCCATGCGTGAGGCCCGGGCTGTGGTCAGGTCCTGCAGGAGGGGGTGGCTGGAAATGTGCGGGAGCTGGCTGGGCGCTGGGGGGCAGCTGGCCACCTCCCTGGTGAAGCTCTCCTGCCAGACAAAGGCCGAGGCCTCCTTGGCCGGGGCCTGGGTGGGGCCCTCAGGCCCCGGCGGCCGCCCAGTCCGCAGCTGGAGGACCAGCCTCCCACTGGTGCTGACGTAGGTGCCGTCCCTCGCCGGGGGGCTGCACTGAACCCCCTGCCCTAGGCCTTCCACCCCCCCTGGAGCCACAGGGGGTTCCCTGGGGAGGGCTGACTCCTTGTTCTTGTCCCCAATGAAGAAAGAGGTGGGGGCTGGTTCTCCAGGGGCCCTGGGCGCGTGCAGGCCCTTCGTCCAGGCCAGTCCCTCCCGGGGGCTCTTGCGTCTCTCTTCCTGCCGGCCCCCGCCAGGCTCGGAGCCCCGCCCGCCGTCCGACCCACTGGCATCACTAAGGCTGTCAGGCTCCAGGTCCTCTTGGCCCAGGAGGCAGTTGGCCTGCTCACTGCCTGGCTCCAGCAGCCCAGACCCACTCCTCCTGGCAGCCTCAGGGCCTGTGGGGTTGTCCACCCTGTCACTGGGCAGCTGTGGGAGCAGTCGCCGCTGACGCACAGGCAGGGTCCCCTCCAGTTCCCCGGCTCTGCGCCCGGGGCCATCCTCTGTGAAGACGAGAACAGCCCCACTGTGATGGTCATCGGCCGGCGGGCGGGCAGGCCATCCGCGCACCCTGGGAGCCTGGCCCTCCACCCAGCATGTGCAGCATCGATTTCCCCAGGCAGTGGCCTGAAGCCACCCTCCCCCAGTCCCTCCCCACTGCAGCCCTGGAGCCACTTACCTGCCATCCCCGGGTCTGAGTAGCTGTCAGCCAAGCTGGCCCAGCGGGACACCCACTTCTGACCCCCAGGGGAGCCTGGTACCAGGAGGCCCTGCTGAGAAGAGCAGGAGAGCCTGTGGCAGGGACAGGCAGGCGCCCCCAGAGAGGTGCCAGGGGCGGGAGGGGGCGTAAAGGCAGCCCCAGCCTGCCATGTTCCCCCCTGCAGAAGCGCCAGGAGGACGCCCTTGCCTCTCTGGGGCTTGCAGGACCCCAACTTAACTACTGCCATCCAAGCACTGTTTGCAGGCTCTGACGGTGGCCAGCAGCCCACCCTGCCCATCAAGCACACCCAGACGACCAACTCGACCCGGAGCCTTAGGACGTGCCCTTGAGCCCTCCCTGTGGGTACCTAGCCCTCCTGCCAGCGGGCACACCCCTCAGGGAAGGTCCAGCCCAGCCTTGTCTGGGGCCCAGAGTCCAGCCAGGGAGGACCAGAGCCTTCAAGCACATTCAGGATGCAATGACCAGGACTCCAGCCGAGGCACTGTCCTTTCCACCCGTCCCCCACCGGGGTGGTGTCTGGCTGGGCCCCATGTACCTGGAGCTCCCCCTGGGGGGCCATGCCCGCTGGCCGGGACGCAAACTCCTGTAGCAGGGCCACCCGCTGGGCCACCCCGTCACCAGAGTCGTCTCTGTGCCCCCTGATGATGGGGCGGAAAGTGGCTGAGGATGCCCTGGAAAGCTCAGAGGACTCCAGTACCCCAAAGACCTGCCAGGAAGGACCGCCAGGCCTCGGGTCAGAGCACGGCGCCCGGGCCCCAGGCCCAGCCCAGGCTGCCCCGAACAGCCGCACCTGGTCGATCATCCTACGGGCCTCCTCCACCTCCTGGTCCGGCGCCTCCGTCTCGATGGTGTAGGTGCCCGCGTCGCTGAGGCTGTCCTCCTCCTCCTGTTTGCGCGCCTTGGTGAGCTGGGGGTCTGCGGAGGGGGGTGGTGGAGTCGAGGGGGCAGCGGGGCTGACCCCACGGGGTGTCATGGGGGCTGGCAGCACGGGGGGCACCTTCTCGGGGCCAGGCCGGGTGGCCGGGGGTCCCTCCCGCAGGCACTGGGCCACAAAGTCCTGCGCCAGGCGGGACCGGCGCCCCACACTGCCAAAGGGGCGGGCGGAGGCCCGGGGTGCTGGCGAGGGGCTGCCTAGCCGCTCCTCTGTCCTCTCCCGCTTCAGGGAGCCGGCCCGCTGAGGCCCCGAGCTGCTGCCCGCGCCACGGGCCGGAGCTGGGGCCCCCAGGCGGTCCCTGTCAGCTGGCCCAGGGCCTCTGCGCTTGTCGGCCTTGGGGTCCCCGGGCGGTGTGTGCGTGAAGGACTGGGAGCGTTTCTTGCGGGGTGTGTCCCCGTCGAAGAACTCGATGACGAAAGCCTGCTGGTTGTGCAGCAGCTCCTGGGGATCCCGCTTGATCTGCCTCTGCAGCCGCACCTGCTCCCCACTGCCCTCCGCAGGCACCCCAGCCACCACTGCCTTGGCCAGGGGGTCCTCCGAGTCACTCTGTGTGCCATCCTCGTGCTTGTGGCCTGTGGGCAGGGGACCCCAACTCATCAGTCCAAGGGGAAGGCAACACAGCGGTCCTGAGGCCGCCTCATCCTGAGCCCAAGGGAGTTGACACCCACAGCCGCAGCCGTCATGTGCCTGGGGACATAGCCCATCACATGCAGCCCAGCACAAGTGGCCGAGGCAAGCGAGGGGAACCCTGGATTGCCCAGATTGGGAGGTCAGTCAAGCTGACCAGGCCCTGCTTGTGGGTGGGTGGGCAGGCACAGTCCCTGCCACCGGGCACCCACCCTTGAGGGTGCGGGTGTGGGCAGGCAGGTCGCTTTTGGCGCTGTGGCGGTCATCTCCAGGGCCAGCCCGGCGCAGCAGGCTGGGGTCGTTCTGCACCAGCCAGTCGGCCACCTTGGTCTCGGCGGAGACCACCTCAACGGGTGCAGCCTCCTTGCCCGGGGGCCGCCGCTGGCGCAGGGAGAACTTGGTGACATGGTCCCGGATCTTGACCTTGCCCGGGCTGCAGTCATCGAACTCGATGGTGAAGGAGGCGTGGCTCTGCACAACAGGGGCGGCCCCGTCCCTCCCCAGCTCCCCATCCTGGGGGGGTGCCTCGGGCTGGGGGGCATCCTTTGTGGGAATCTCGAAGTAGCTGGGCTCCCGCCGGAAGGCGCACCCCGGAGACTCTGCAGTGGCCCGGGCGGCGGCCGTCATCCCTGCGAGCTCCCCATCCTGCTGCACCAGCTCTTTGGGCCGCTCTGTGGGAGGCGCATCCTCAGGCGGGGCCCCGTGGCACCCTCATCCCAGCCCCCTCTTGCGACACCGTCGGCTCCGTCTGCCCCAGAGCGGCACGGACCAGGCTGCCTTCTGGGAGTACCTGTGCAGGGCTCCTCCTGGCGCCGGTCCTCAGACGGGTCGCCGCCATCATCCTCCCCCCACCAGGAGGGCTGTCCATACAGGGGTGTGCGGTAGGTCGCTGCCTCTGCAAAGGGACAGACTTTGACAGTAGCTGTGGTGCCAGAACAGGCAGGAGGGGAGCCCAGAGCCAGGAAGGCATGGGTCTGAAGGGGCCCTGGTCACCGTCCCATTCAGATCAGCGGTTGCCCAGGACTCTGCAGTCGCCAACCACCAAGCCACGTCCTCATCCATAGTGGTGACAGCTGCAGCAAGTCCTGGGCCTCCCTGCGGGGTGGCTGTGCTAGGAAAGCCCATCCCTGGGGTGGCACTGCCCTGGCCAGGCAATCCCTTTAGCCCTGCCCCAGGCTCTCTGCCCCCACAGCCTGCTGGACACAGGGAAGGGCCATTAGCGATGGCTCTGCAAATGCTTCAGGCGACAGAGTGACCCCAGAGGCCAAGCGCCACCGTCTGAGCACACAAGGTATAGGGCTGTGGGTGTGCCAGGGTGGAGGGAGGGGGATGTGTGTACAGGGTGGGGCGTGACCCGGTGGGCAGGCCTTGGGAGGTGTGCAGGGGCAGCCTGCATGCACACCCCCTCCCGGCCCACGGCAGGGCCACCCTACCTGCTCCCAGCCTCCGGTCCCCCCTCTCCAGCCTGGGGCTCGAGGACTCGCAGTAAGGCGTGTGCTGCGGAGGGGCTGTTCCCCCCGTGGGTGCCAGGCCCTTGACGCTCACCTGCAGCTGGCTGGTGTACTTCTCGTGCTGTGGGCAGGGGGGCGGGTGAGGGTGGGTGGCTGCCACAGAGGGACAGCTCCACCCAGGGCGGCCCAGCACTAACCCACGTGTGTCACGACATACGACCCCCACGGGAGCAGACAGCCTGCCCGGGCCACCCAGGATCTGCGCCCAAGCCCGGGAGATCCTCAGCACCACAAAGCTCCCAGGAGGGACCTGGGGCTTGTCTGGGGTGGGGAAGGGGGAGGTGGGCTGCGACCATCAGGGAGACACTGCAGCCCAGCCGAGGAGCGGGACAGGCCTGGCCACGGGAGCCGCACCCAGGGGCCGTGGGAGGCGGGGAGCAGCGGCCCACTCAAACAGGCCGCACCCACAGGGCTGAGCTCCATCGCTGTCAGAGCCTGGTTGGCACCGGCCCTGCCCTCACTGGCCACATAACTCTGAGCAGGCTGCCACGCTCACTGGGCTACCAGAGGTTCGTTTGGAAAGTGGGGCTAAGGCTGGTCTCCCCACACAGGGCTCCTGGGGGAAGTTCCAGGAAGGGTCCCCTAAGCCAGTGTGCCATGACTCCCACACAGTCAAGGGGAAGGGAGACACCCCACCTGCCGTGGCCCCTTCCTTCCCCAGGACCCTCGAACTCCAACTGGGTAAATGTACTGAGGGCACCTGCCACCCAGGACCTCCCACAGTACTGTTGCCAAAGGCTGCCCCTGGCCAGCCTCCAGACACCCGCTCCCGCCTGCCCCTGGCCAGCCCAGCCCAGCCCACAGTGGCCTCATCAGGGTCCTCTGCACCCAAGGTACTGAGTGGGCCCTCCCAGGCCCCCAATACACCCAGCATCCATGGCCCCATGAGCCTGGGGGTGGGAAGGACCACCTCCTTCACCTGCCAGACCAGAGCATCCGGTGGGGCAGGCCGGGCTGGGCTGACTCAGCACCACAGACAGGCGGGGGCCCGGAGGCCTAGGAGTGCCGGCCGCCGAGGGCGGGCAGAGGGGGGCGGGGGTTGTGGGGACACGGGGCCCTGGTGGCGGGGGCCCCTCGGCTGAGCAGCAGCACTAACCCTGAGAGCCTCCTCGGGGACGCGGTGCTGCACACGCTCCAGCACGTACATGTTGGGATGTGCAGGTGTGTCAAGGAGATCTGGGAGCAGGAAGGGCGGGGTGGGGCCCTGGGACGTGTGCCGTGGGACACATGTCCGCTCCTCACCAGCGGGAGGAGCCGTCCTCCGGTGAGGTGCCTCAAGAGGGCTCTGGGGGACCATGCTGCCCCCCACCAGCGGTGCACCCACATGGTGTTGGCCAAGGCAGGCAGAGGACGCATGCCTGCCATGCACGTGGGGGCCCGGAGCCTGCTCACCCGTGTCTGAGCACAGAAGCTGCCTAGGCAACTCCAGGTTGCCCCTGGCTTGGGACCCCAGAGGGAGCTCACCTGTTTGTGGCCCTGGGAACTCAAGGTGCCCCTGGCTGGAGGCTTGGCGGGGACAGGCACGGGGCCTGGAGCTCCGGCCACTGTCCAGCCTGGGTTTACCCTGGCCACTCGCTAACCCCTTGGGCCCCCACTGTGACCACTGAGACCCCACTGCCTCCAGGATAACAAGGCAACTATGGCCGTGGGGACTGAGGGGGAGGCCAGAGGAGGGGCTGGGCGTGGCCAGGAAAGGATATCGTAGCCGAATCGGATGACATCGTTGAGCTTCAGCGTGACATACTTCTGGTCCGGGATGCGCACATCATTCACAAAGGTCTGTGGAGGGGACAGGTGGCAGAGCTGGGCTGCTGGCAGACAGGGCAGCAACTCCGGGGGCCCCACGACCCCCCAAGTGGATGCCCAGGCCCTCTTTTGTGCTGCTCTGGGCCTAGCACTGTCCCTCGGGCTCAAACGCAGCCAGCCGTGTGCCCCGAAGGGACCACAGGACAGCAGCTACAGAAGGGCTGGTTGCAAGAAGTACCCCAGGGACCCTGATGTAGCCTCTCAAACACAAACCACTGTGGTGAATAAGACCCTTTCTCTGGTCCACACAGGGATCACGCTGGCCCCAGCCCTCAGCCCACACTGCCACTGGGACACCCAGGCACGCCTGTGGGTGGTCCGGTGGCAGGGCTGTTTGCATTGCCCATTCATGAGGCGCATCAAAACACCAGGCTCTAGAAACCCTCTTCCCTCCATCAGGGGCTTCTAATCAACCAGCCACTGGACACCACAGTGGTCACGTGAATGAAAGACCCCAGCAGGTGCTGAGGACCTCGGGGGTAGGCGGGGGTCACAAGGAAGGCAGATGTGGTTGTGCCCCGAGTCTGGCAGAAGTAGCAAGACATGTGGGGGAGGGGTGCATTACAGGACAGAGCACCTCGGGAGCTGGGAGGGCAGCGACGGGGAAGGTGGCAAATGGGGCTAGAGCCGAGGAGTGGGCCCAGGGGAGGGCTGGAACAATGGCAAGCTTGGTTGTGGACACACTGTATGTAAAGTAGGGGTCCTCGGGTGCTGAGCAAGGAGTGGAGGACAGCAGGCCTGGCCTGGGGACAGCTCCAAGGCTATGCAGACCCGTTCTGCCACTTCCTGCACCCCATCACAGACCCCGAAGAACCTGCCCCTGCAGGGTGAGGGAGCCTAACCCAGGCCACAGCCCATGTCCCTTGCAGCCGCACCTGGAGCCCACCAGACAGCTGAGCAAGGTGGGACTGGGGGCAGAACCCAGCAGAGCCTGACACCCCCGATGGGAGGTGAGGGGAGCCTGGTGGGGTGCCCAGCCCTTGATTGTGTGATAGCACAGCAGAGGCAGGGCTGGCCCGAGGCCGCTGTGGGCCCCCAGCTCAGGACGGGGGCCAGACTGAACAGGCCGGGAGGGACGGGGCAGATGCCCTCCCTGATCCAGCGAACGGGAATGGAGGCAGACGGTTTCCTTGTTGACACAGTGCCCCGCGGCAGGAGACACACCCAGACAGACACTGGACCCAGGAGTGCACCCATTTTCCACCCCACATACCAGGTTCCTCTCGCCCAGCCCCTCCCTGCTCCCGCAGTCAGGGCCTTCCTCCTGGTCACCTCCGTGTCCTCACTGCCCACAACTCCCAAGAGGTCCCTCCAGGACAGGGTACCCCAGCACAGCCCTGTCCTTCGCAGAAGCCCCACTTCCCAGACTGCAGGTGGTCCAAGTGCCTCCCTTGCCCCCCTGAGGGACTGGAGCCACCAGAGCAGCCCCTGCCCAGTGGGGCTCCTGCACAGGCCAGGGGATCTCTGTACCTTCGGGTGCCTCCTCCCCACCCGAGCAGGAGGTCCTGGCGGGGGGCAGGTAGGGCAGGGCAGAGGCTTGTGGTCGCAGAAGGCTCTGGACCACCGAGAAGGGCCTGAGCAGAGGGGTGGGGTCATGATTAGGGTATGGGGTCCAGGGTAGGAATGGAGCTGGGGCGGGGCCAGCACAGAGGAGGGGTCGTGCATGGGCGCGGCCAGGAGGGCTGGAGGGGCGGGGGCGGGGCCACCAGGGGGAGGAGTTGCGGCGGGGTGGGGCGGGGCCAGCACTTACCCCATTTAGGCTGCCCAGGTCCTTCACCCAGTGCTGGTCCCTGTCCTGGTCGTAATTGATGACAGCATGCTGCTTGTCCACGCTGCGAGACTGGGGACACAAAGGGTCCTCGGGTGGCCTTCTCGGCTAGGGGGAGGCACCCCCACAGGTGTCCCCATCCTCCCCCACTCCACCACAATACCAACCCCAGTGCCATGGGCCCGGAGGCCCAGGTCCCAGCCACGCCCCCACACCAGAGTCCCACCCTGACTCGGCCAGCGTCCCAGCCACAGGGATCTGCCAGACGTCAGGGCCAGTTCTTCCCACCCCAAGGCTGTCACCGGGGCCCCTCCCTTTGTGACCACCCTGCACAGTACCAACAGTCCAGGGACCCCTCCCATCCTGGCACTCCTCTTGGGTTGGCAGTGGGAGCCGTTCCAGTGGCAACCCCCTGGCCCTCTGGGACATGCCGTTCACTCCCAAGGGCAGGCGGGGGTGGCCAGGTGGAGGCGGCCAGGCGGAGGCAGGCGATTCAGAGGGAGGGTCAGGGGGCTGGGGGTGCTCAGGGGCAAGCTTCCCCAGACTCCAAGTTAGCCCCACAACCCGTGACAGGCATGTGCACACAGGCATGCATGATGCTGCAGACCCTTCCCTGTACACATGCATGCACAGGGCTCCCACACATCCTGAGCACACTCTGCCACCAGTTCCTGTGCACACATGCATGCATGCATGCACGCACACAAATACTTTGCCTTGAGCACTTCTAACTCTTCCCTGGCCTCTAGTCCACCCAGGACACCCTCCAGGACAGTCACCCAGCACGCTCAGCCAAGCCCCATTCCTGCCCCCCACCTACCAGGGCTCGGGGGACAGAGCCAGGGTCACACTACTTGCTTAGGCACCGTCAGCATGCGCTGCCACAACCAGCCATGGCCGTCTCAGCAAAGAGCACAGCACCATGCCTATGCCACATGGCTGCAGGCTGGGGGTGCTGGGCAGCAGCTGAGGAGTCTGGGCCAGAGGCCCAGCCAGCAGAACCGTGCAGCCCAGGGGCAGCGTCCAGCCCTGCCCCAGACGCATGACAGTATGTGCCCCTCTGGACCTGCCAGCAGTGCCCCCCACAAAGCTCCCAGGCAGCTCCAGAGCACACGCATGGAATCCACGGAGCCACACGCATTCCTTGCCACCTGGCACAGGACAGCCCTCAGCTCGCAGGAGGGTGGTCCCAGACCAACGTCCCCCATCACCACACTGCCAGGCCTCCCAGTTCTCACAGGTGAGTGCCAGACCCTCCGGCCCCACACCACAGAGCCCATTTTCCCTGATTCTCTCCACCTGCCAGGCCCCTCAGCGCGCTCTGCAGTGACCGGCTTCCAGGGAGGCCCCAATACCCTCCTTCCTCACCCAGAGACCCAAGTGGTCAGCAGAGCCAGGGTGGGGGTGGACAGGGCTCTGGCCCAGCCCTGTCCCCACACAAGTCTCTCAGCTGGTGAGTGAGCACCACAGCGGGTGCGGCTCAGCTTGAGCCTGGCCTCCACGCCCCGGCCTCTCCTGCACTCAGAGAGCCCGAGGTGGCTGGCGGGACCCACAGCGTCGGTGCTGCAGTGGGAGGCCCAGGGGCTGTGGGGCGAGGAGGAGCAGGGGTGCAGGTGACTCAGGGGCCGATTAGATCTGCAGGGCCAGCCGGAGCCTCTCTGACACGGAGGCTAGCCCGGAGCCACAGGGCCTAGTGGCCGCCATGGGGGCCCGGGCAAGCACAGGTCGGTGGCTAGGCCTGCTGGGGGCATCCTCCCTGGGAAGGACAGTCCTGGGGGGCCTCCAGTGTCGACTTACCTGCCTCCCGAAGCAATGGGTCGCTGGCAAGGTGACTCTGACCTTGAGACCTGTGGCCCCACCCCTCCAGGCCTCACCTCTGCCCCCATCCTGAATCCCTCATGCAAAGTGGCGCCCACAGTTGGACAGCTCCCAGCCACCAGGCCACATTCCCCGCCTGGGGCTGCCCTGCTGGTCCCTGACGCAGGCCCACCTGCCGCTCACCTCCCCAGAGCTGGCCCTGTGGCTCTCCACTGCAGCCCCTCCCTCCGGCCCTGGCACAGGCAGGGGGTGGAGAAGCACTGCTGGGGATGCCGGCTCTCCCTTCTCCAGACTCAGCCTGCTGGCTGCAGGGCACTGGGGGAGCTGCTGGGAGTGCCTGGGTGCCCAACTGGCCCACATCAGACGAGTAACTGCCCCTGTCGGTGGCCCCATGGTCAAGCACCACAATTCCTGAGTCCAGGCTGGCAGCTGCACGGCCTGGGGCTCACTGAGAGAGCTGGGCCTCACCCCCTCCTGCACCCGCTCCCATGCACAGCCCAGGGCTCAAGGACAGGCCAGCTGCCCACGCAGCCCTGCCCAGCAGTTGGATGCCACTGGGCCAAATCGACCCGCTGTCTCCAGAAAGTGAACCCCGAGGCCTGGGGGCTGGATTCTGCCCCCTCATGGACCCCCAAGGCCTGGGGGCCTCTGAGAAGGTGAGAAGGAACAGGTCAGGCTGCTGGCAGGTGCAGGGGTCCCCAGGCTCTGCCTGACTGCGATGGGAGTAGGGGGGCAGCAGACAGGGCACTCTGTGTCCTGGGCTTGTATGCCGCCTTTGCAGGGAGGGACCACCTGGAGGAGCTTCTGGGCTGACCTTTTCAGCCTGAACCACTTCCCTTCCTCCGAGGCCTCAGACCCCCAACTACTGGACACACCGCAGCCACCTTCCACGCAGCCAAGCCCAACCTGGCCAAACCCAGTTCCCCCTCCCTGCCCACCTGGCCCTGCCCCCAGGAACACTGCCAGCCGAGCCCCAGGTGCTCCAGCCACACCCGCTGGCCTTCCTCCTCAGCACCCCTCAACCTGTCCACCTGCCTCCGCCCCGCAGCCACCTCTTGCCCGAACTCCCAGCCCCCACCCCACCCCACCCGTCAGTCTACCACTGAAGCTTCCCTGGGCTTCCCACTGGGAAGGAAAAGCTGGCAATGTACCCAGAGCCACAGGCCCTGGTGGCCGCTCCGAACCCCCCTCATCCATCCCGGCCAGCCGCCAGCCACACCACTCCACACCTCTGGAAGTGCTACACCCTCTGCAGGGCCAGGTCCCCTACCCCGGTCACCACCTTCCCTGAGGCCACTTCCTCTTTCCCAGCAAGGTGCCGGATCTGCCCACCCAGGCCAGAAGCAGACCCAACCCCACCTAACCCAGGGGCTCAGAGTGTGAAGCCCACCCACAAGAGGTGGAAGCAGCCACTCAGCCAAGGACTGGAGGCTTGAAAGGACACAAAGCGGCCCCTGACAGTGGAGAGGAGGGCGTGACACACACATGAAATGGCCTAGAAGTTCCAAACACGCGGATTTTGGGAAAAGGGTCCAACTCTTTGTATTCACTTTAAAATGGAATAAAGATGTGCTTCCAAAATTCATGTCTGCTGTCATCTGTGGGTGAGAGCCCCGGGGGCAGCCACAGCCCTGCGCTCGGCACCATCCCGCCAGCGAGGCCACGAGGGCCCCAGAGGACGGGCTCAGCCTGTCATGCAGGCAGGGGGCTCTCGCCCGCCCACCTGGGGCCGACGAATGCCAGCTCTCGCAAAGTCCCATAGAGGGCAGAGCTGGGAGGACGCGGCACTGTAAGCATGTTAGCTCACACGTGCATACAGACACAGGTGCGTAACACAGCCCCATGTCTGGGCACACCTGCCCCACACCAGAGCCCAGGGCCACCTGGGGACAGGAGCCACAGCAGACAGTTCCGGCTCTGGCACCAGGCGGGCCCAGACCACACCTGCTCACATTTGTCATTGAACACGCTCCTGCTGGGTACCAGCTGTGCCAGGCTTGCACTGGAAGCCAGGACCCTGGAGAGTGTGGGGCGGCACATGGCCAGGCTGCTGGCTCTGCCTCCAGAACACAACTTCCGACCTCCTTTGCCCCTGGGGTCCAAGCCACGGCCCCTCTTGCCTAGTCTGTGACACCAGCTCCTACCCCCCAGCCCTGTCCTAGGCACTCTGTCCCCTCCCCTTTTCCTGCAGAGTCCCCTCCCCTTTTGGCACCTCTGCCAACCCCCCACCCCACCATGCTCCCCATCGTCCTCGGCTCTCTGCGCAGGTTGCCATGCCCAGCCAGTGCCACCTTCTTCAGATGTCTACCCTGGGAAAGCTTGGGTTCCAGCTCACAGGTCTGTGGCCGGCCCCACCCCTGGAGCAAAGACCCCAGGAAGGCAGGCTGTCTGCATGGCCTTCCCAGTGCCAGGCACAGGGCACAGCTCTGTGCTCAGTGACAACTGTTGAGTGGGGAACATGGGAATGAACACGACGACGTTGCACAGGGAAGACCGGGCACTCGGGGAGCACACGGCAGGGAGAGGATAAAGGGGAGCTGGCCGGTGAGGACAGGGCCAGCTAGGGCATGAGGGACCCCAGAGAGCCAGGGCGGGTGGGGGTGGCTGGGCCAAGCTGCTTGTCCCTGCACTGGCGGAGGGGTGGGAGTGACACTCGGGACACCGGAGGTGTGAGCGAGGGGGAGGGACAGCTGCAGTGTGTCCCTGGACCACTGGTGGGGCCCACAGTGGGGGGAGCAGGGGAGGACACGTTTTGCTCAGCAGCACTGAGCTTGGCCTGCATCTGAGTCCCCCGAGCAGGCTGTGAACCCGGGGGCGGCGGCCGGGGACACACCGTGTGAAGGCCCTGAGCAGAGGTGGAGGCCAAGGCCAGAGGGGTGGCTGGGACCTCCAGGGAGAGGCATTCCCCAAGGGCTGGGGGACAGCAAGGCGCAGAAATGCAGGCTCCCCGGCCAGGGGCCAGCCCAGCACAGAGTCTGCCCTGCCTAGGGCTCCCCCACTAACTTGCCAGAAACTAGGACCCCACACTCCTGAGTAGCCCAACCCAGCCTAGTCAGCAGGCTCTCCCTGAGTGCTGGGAAATGAAGCAAGCAGAGGGATGGCCTGATTCAAGGGGACAGACACAGGCAGGAGACAGGAGGCACACCCACACTGGGCCCCTGGCACCCGCGGGCACCCATAGACTTCCTCTGGCTTCTCCCACAGGCTCCCATCCATGCCACCTCCTCCAAAAGGCCTTCCTGGCCCCCCTGGGTAGACTGGCAGGGCCATAGATACACCACACAGGCACAGCACGGAACATACAGCACCCTGCCAGGGGTCAGAGGCAAATGTAGTGACACCAAACCCGGCCACATCTTCTGCCTCCAGAAAACAGAAAACAGGGGTCATGTCACAGGACACTGTCAGGGAGCAACTGGCCACATCCAGACCCCACACGGGTCACTCCATGAGGCCAGGGGCGCAACCTCCAGCCTGCTGCCTGCTTTGTATGGACTCAGAGCTACTTTTAAATGGCTTTGTAAAAAGTCAAGACTATGTAATGACACATGAACCTGACATGAAATTGACATTTCAAGGCCCCATGGAGTTTTACTGGCACAGCTCCCTGGGCTTCTGCCTGTCACTTCAGGACTTGGCAAAGCTGAGTGGCTGCCACAGAGCGAGTGGACCCCAAGGCCTGCCACACACCCCTGGACCTTCACAGAAACACTTGCCCGACCTGTACAGAGCCACCCACTTGGTCTCTCCAGCTTCCAAAGGAAAAGGAAAGAGAACAGGACAGACTTCCAGGTGTGAGCTGCCCACGGGCCGGAAGCAAAGGCAGCGTGAGAAGTTCGCGGGACCAGAGGCCAGCAGATGAGAGGATGCTGAAGGAGAAGCCAGGGTGTCAGGGCCCACCTGGGTGTGGGCGGGGCCTGCCCTCAGGAGAGGGGGACAGACATCTGTGGCCCATGGGGACACGCTCATGCCTGGGGCCCCTGGCTACGCATCCTGGGAGCAGATGGTAGCAGCTGGGCTGCACATGGGAACTGGCATCTGGGTGAAGCCTCACCTGCACCCGAGCAGGCCCCTTGGCCGGACCAGGCAACCCACCCAGGATGCCCATTTGTTTCTGGGGGCATGGAGCTTGGGAAGCCTGGGGACAGGGGACCCATGCGCCACACTGGGGAGGGGTCAGGGCTGCAAGGAGCCCAACTCAATCATATCCATGAGGGATGAGGGAAGGGCACGGGTGCTGGGGTGCACCCTGCAGGGTTAGTCCACCACCCCTCTTTTCTTGTTCCCAAATATCTTGACTGGTGAGTCCCATGGGAGTGAAACTCAAACCCAGGGCCAGAGAAAAATTCCTGGTTGCCTAGTGCCCAGGGCTCTGGCTGCCAGTGGCCAAAAGAGGCCCTGTACCCCTCAGGGTGCCTCAAAGGAGCACTAGCCTTCCCCTGGACAGCTCTGATGGTCAGAGCTGGCCCTGTGGTTTCCCACCGTGACTCACAGCCCAGGCAGAGCTTCCAGACAAGGATACAGAGCAATGCACCTCCCAGCACCTTCCAAAGGCAGGCTGCTCACATCTTGAGAATCTGACAGAAGCCCGAGCACCCTCTAGTCAGAAAAGGTCCAGTATGCAAAGGCAGGGACTCGTGCCCACGGGAGCACATGTGGGCCCGCACACAATGCCTGACAGCCAGAGACCACCCGCGCACCCAGGGCCCAGGAGGAGATGCGCAGGCTGCACGGGGCCTCAGCCTCCTGGCCTCTGCCTGCCCTCTGCACCTCACCTGCAGCATGAGCTCACAGTCATCCCGCCCCACGAAGATGAGCTCTCGGGGCAGCCGGTGCCGCGTGCCGCCGCTGCCCACCAGGAACCAGGAGGTGACACTCATCTTGGCACTGGGCAGGCCCGCCTGGCCCTGCAGGGGAAAGAGTCGTCAGAGTGGGGCTTTCTGCTGCCTGGCCTGGGGCCCAGGGTCTGGAGGTCCCACACAGATCCTGCCCCTCCGCGGTTCAAGCACCTTCATGCTCCACCACAATGGCTGTTTCCAGGAGCACCGGGCTCCAGCCATGGCAGGTCGCCTGTCCTTCCCTCGGTATGTCTGTGCCCTGTGAGCCCCACCCCTGGCGAAGGCTGCCTAGTCCTCCCTTGTGCTCCAGACCCCACATGCAGCCTCCTCTCTCTTCTAGGTGCCAGGGGATGAGTCCACGGTGCACTGGCCCCACATGTCCCTGAGACCTGTGGGACTCAGCAGGGACCATCAGGGTCCCCACAATGACGGGTGCACACACCACACCCACCCCAGGACACAAGCTCTTAACCACGGGGTCTGCTTCCCTGAATCAGACCCTCTGAGCCAGGCCCCGGGCAGGGCAACCACCTACATGCCTGTCACTCAGAGACTGAATGTCGCTTGGTGGCACTGTGAACACCCTACAGAAGCCCCCAGGCCAGAACAGTGGTGGCCAAGGCATCAATCAGGAAGGCCCTCCAGCATCACGGAGGGAAGCGGAGCTTTGGCGCCCAAGGTCCTGGGGGCGTCGGCAAAGGAGGGATCCGAGGGGCTGCTACGGTCAGGGCAGGCAGGCGGGCACCACGTGGCTCAAAGGGCATAGTGAGGGCAACCTGAACAACAGGCCCTGGGACAGCCTGAGGCTCTCAGACCCGCTGCCCCAGGACAGCCCAGCCCCTGTACAGCCAGTGTGACACGCTGCAGAGCCTGCAACAGCAGCACAGGTACACAGGCACCCACTGTGCAGACATACCCCTGCCCACCACACGTGTGCACTGTCTCCTCATACACCTGGAGCACCACCCAAAAGAGCCCTGGCCCAAATCCTCTGTACACACTCTTCCTGAGCACACGTACATGTGCACACACTGGGTACAATGTACCCCAAGCACCACCATGTGCCAGGTGTCCTGGCCTCTGAAACTCTGAAACAGCCCTGACCAAAACATACACTGTCCCAGGGACACAGGAATTCCTTGTGAAAAGATGTGAGTGACAGAAAAAACAGGGGCAGGGAGGGGCAGTGCCAGAAGAGGCCTGTTTAGGGATCCTGGTCAGGAAAGGCGACATCCAAGCAGCAGGAACATCTTGGGGACTGCGGTCCAGGCAGAAGGAACATCAGTGCAGAGACACCGGGTCGTGAGCCCCTGGGATCCCTGTGGCTGGTCTGCAGCCAGAAGGGAGGCCCTGCACGGCCCGGGACATGCTGCATCACGGCAGCGCTCGGTGCAAAGAAAATGCCCAACACTTGGTTCAAACACCGTGAAGGGCTTCCAACAGCAAGAACAAGGCACTGGACGGAGTGTAGGGCCTGAATAAGGCGGCCTGCGGTGGTCTTAGTGTGAGCACTGCAGGGGGGCTAAGTAGGAGACTAGTTAAGAAGTGAGACAGTCACGGGGCAGGAGATGGTGCTGGCACCCGGGGAAGCACAGGTGGGGGTGGGGGATGGGGTCCCAGACCCTGTCCCTGTAACGCTCACCCGGAGAAGCCCCGAATTTCTCAGCTCCCTTCCCTGTGGGCAGTGTAGGAGGCCAACACCCGGGCCCCACCCATCTGCAAAGGCCCGAGGGAGGACAGAGCCCCACTCCCCCGCATGCCCTTCCCACCACCTCGGAGGCGCAGGTAGGAAGACTGGAAAAACCCACCCCGGGAGAAGGCAGCTCCTGCAGCCAGGGACCCTCACCCAAGCCCCTGCTGTTTCTCAAGGTCCTGCCTGAGGAGCCGGCACTGGAGGCTGAGGGCGCAGGGACTCCCAGGCCCCTGAAGCCCGCAGGAGACACCCGCAACCCCAGCCTCTTCTACGACCCCTCGGACCGGCGGCTGCAGGAGGTGACAGGGCTCTCTCCCGGACAGCCCCGCCCAGCCCAGGCCCCGCGTTCCACACCCTGCCATCGCCGGCCGCAAGCTCCCGGAGGGCCGTGGGCATAGACACCCCACCCACAAGAGGCCACAGCCTTTGCTTCTGGCAAGGGGAGGTCCCCGGAGCCCGGTCACACGGCTGTGCGGGAGCCAGGCCGCCGCCGCTACTGCCGGCCCATCCTAAAAAGGCCCAGGCCTGGGAGCCGCAGGCGCTCCCCAACAGCCTGCGGCCGGTCTGCGCCCGGGCGGGCCATCGCTGCCGGGAGGGGGGATCGCAAACACCCCCGACTGGTCCCCCCGGCGGTCCCAGCCAGAAGGGCCAGCCGCCCGGAGGTGAGACGGGGGAGGAGGGGAGTCGCCCAGGGGCAGGAGGCAGGGGCTGGAGCCGCCGGGGTCGGGAAGGGGTGCGGCGGGCGGCTGGAAGGAGCAGACGGAGCGGAGGCCGGGACAGCGGAGAGGCGGCGGCGGCGGCGGCGGCGGCGAAGGGAAACGAGGAGAGGAGGAGGAGGGCAGGGAGGGAGGGACCGCGGGAGGAGGGCCCGGCCGGGCGGGGGCGCCGGGCCCGGGGAGGGGGGAGGGCGCCGGCTCCTGAATCAGCGCTCGCCGGGGGCGGCCACGGCCAAGCCGGTGCCCTGGCGGGGACGCCGGCGCCCGGGCCTGCGCCCCCTCTCCAGGCCGCGTAGACGAGCGCCGGGCGCCCCTCCCGGCCTGGCGCAGAGCTGGGCCGCCTCCGCGCGGCGGGGACCGGACCGGCCAGGTGCGCTCGCGCCTTTGTCCGGCCGGGGGGACCCGCTCGCCCATCCCCGGCGGCCCGCGGGCGCAGGTGCGGCGGAGGGAGGCCCGGCCGCCGAGGGCGCCAGGCGGCGCGTCTTACCTGCGGCTCGGCCCCGGCTCGGCCCCGGCCCTCCCGCCCGGCCAGCCGAGCGCTGGGCGGGGCCGCCGCCTAGGACATGCCCGGCGCGGCCCGCAAGCTCGCGGCAGCCCCGGCCTGGCCCACGGGCGGAGCGGCGACCGGCGGCCTGGCGCTCGGGTCCCTGACGTCTGCGGCCGCCCCGCCCCGCGGCGCCCCGCCCCCGCCGCCGCGCCCCGCCCCGGAAATCAGGTCGGGGCGGGCCCGGGGCGCCAGGTGAGCGGGCCCGGCCCCGCCCGCAGACCCCTCCCCGCCGCGGCTCCCGCCGGTCCCCCGCGCCGCCGTCGCCGGTGCCGCCCGCCCCGCCCGGCCCGCGCTTCTTTACTTGCTGTATTGCCTATTTCCAACACTAAAAAATGTCCTGTTTCAACTGAAATAGGATTAAAAATCACATCATTACTTGTTTTGATCTGAGGCTTCTGAAGAGAAGATACTAGAATTCATAGGAACCAATGTTGAAAAGGAAATCATGTAGGCTAAAGGCTTAGGAGAAAACCCCTCCCATCTTTCTCCTCCCATCTGTCTCCACATACAGCTTGCTCATCTCCTGTCAGAAGCGGCTCACAGGCACAGGGCCTAGTAGTTTCCTGAAGGAAGGTGACTGGGGTGTGGNCTGCGTCCCAGAGGCCCACCCGCGCTGGCTCGACCCTAGGCGTTCAAGGCCGAGCCGGGGGTCGCGCGGGTCTGTGGGCCAGACCTTGCGGAGGGTCCCGGTGGGTCTGGGGGCTGCGGAGGCGCGCACTGTTCCTGCTCAACGGCTCTCGCCCCGAGCCCGGCGCCACTGTAGGTGCTGGGTGTCCCGGGGCTGGAAGGGGGCGTGGGAGAGCCTCTGCGGAGGGAAGGCCCTGCGGGAATGCCGCCTTTCCGTCGGGGGTCGGAGAAGGCCTCGAGCAAAGTGGAGGAAGGTCCTGGGAGAAGGGGCGGAGGGGCGCGCTGTGCCCGGGAGGTTGGGCTCTACGGCGTGGGCAGCTGGGGCCCTGGGCGATGCCGGGTTGCGACGGTACCCAGCTGCCCTGCACCTGGGCCTGCTGCCCTCCCGCAGGACTGCACCCTCAGCTGTCCTAGTCAGGCAGAGCAGGGGCGCCAGGCCCGACCTGAGGGTGGGGGTCACCCTCCACCAGGCAGGCGGGAGCCCCCTACCAGAGGAAAGGCTGGGAGCGTGCGGGGGGTGGTGCACACCGCCCATTACAGGCCCACAGACGGGACCCTGTGGGAGCGTGGACTTGGAGGGCTCCAGGAGGCTGGTCTTCATTCCAGGGATACTGTGGCGTCAAAGGAGGGTCCGATGCCAGCGGAGCCCTGCTCAGATGAGGATTTGGGGGCCTCTGGGTGCCGTGGGGAGGGGGTGGGGATGGTCAGGTGTCCAACCAGAGGCCCTGGGCTGGAAGAAGACAGCAGGGAGAGAAGGGGACGGGCAGCGTGTTTGTTTTGCCCCTGAGACCCTCCCACCTCTCCGCCCTCCCTGCCCTGTGATCCAGCACAGCATAGGTGGCCCCATCCCCCACCTCCCACTGGCTTCTGGGTGAATCTGGCCTCCAGCCCAGAGGTTGGGGAATTTCCCCAGTTCCTTCTGTGCTGGGTGCAGACCTGTCCTCTCCCAGAGGCCCCCGCCCTTGCCTAGAGGCCTTTCCTACCCTCTCGGGGCTCTGGGATGTCCTTGCCCAGGGCCTTCACCACCCTCTCGGCTTCATCCACCCCTTGTCCATATGTTGGTGAATGGACCACCAAAATGTCCTTTTCTCTCTCTGCTTTTTCCTCTTGCCAAGACCTTTTCTCCAAGGTGGGTCGGGGGGAACAAGGATGGTGCCCAGCATTCTCCTGAACCCCCTGTTGTCACTGGGAGACCCGAGAGGTGTGTGGGAGTCAGCAGTTGAGAGTTTGACACAGAGGGACGGAGAGACCTGGGGACACTCAGGCGAGCTGCCTGTAGCATTCGGGAGTTTCAGGACAGCTGGGGAGCAGCCTCAGGCATCACCAGGTGTGGGTGAGACTTGGAGCCACCAGGAGAGGGGGCTACTGTGAGGCATATCAAGCCAGGAACCCGCTGAAGAGACTGTGCAGTGAAGCCACAATCCTCCCAAACTGATGCATGCAGCCCAGCACTATGGGTCAATTCTGAAGTCCACGAGGAAAGTAAAGGTGCCAGAGTGAATAGTCTGGAAGGACTTGAATGACGTGTGCACTAAGACGGCACACAGGTGGCCTGCAAGCACACAGAAGCACACTTCACCACCGCGGGTCATCAGGGAAATGCAAGTCAAAACCATGCAAAGTGAGATGCCACTTTATGCCCATGAGGATGTCTGCTGTCAAAAGAGGGAGAAGAATGAGAGAAAATCAGTGCTGGCGAGGACACGAGTGCTTGAAGCCCCGTGCACTGTGGGTGGGGATGTGACACAGTGCTGATGCCGTGGAGGTTCTTCAAGACTCAAAAGTGGAACTACCATATACCCAGCAATTCCACCTGTGGATGCACCCAGAAGAACTGGAAGTAGGGACAGGAGCAGATACTTGACACCCATATTCAGAGCAACACTGTTCACAAGAGCCACAAGGAGGCAGCAACCAGGGTCCATGGGCACGTGGACAGAAAACGTGGTCTGCACACACTGGGAATACTATGCAGCCTTAAAAAGGAAGGAACTCCTGGCGCAGGCTACCACATGGATAAGCATTAAGGACATTATGCCAAGCGAAATAATCCAGTCCTTGTGCTTCTACTTCTATGAGGTCCCTGGAGGAGTCCTGCTCATAGAGACAGAAAGCAGGATGGTGGGTGCCTGGGGCTGGGGGTGAACGTTAGTGCTGGTGGGAACAGTTTCAGATGGGGGTATGAGCAAGTCCAGGAAACGGATGGTGGTGGTGGCTGCACTTGATGTGGATGTACTTAATGCCACCAAGCTGTACACTTAAAAATGGGTAAAACAGTAAATTCTGTTATGTGTAACATGACAAATTTTTGTTACATATGTAATACAATTAAAAAGGTTTAAAAAATAAGAACAGCCTGTAAAATTCTTAAAAACAAGGCTCTCATACTGCCAGAGGGTAGAGTTCTGTCACAGAACCAACCGGGACGTTTTGTCAAGGGCTCTTGCTGGCACATTGACCGGGGACTGCATGAGCGCTTACATAGGACTGTTTGGGGAAAAGGGCGTTGTTTGATAAGGGTCATTGGGATAGCTGGTGGCTGTCCGGAGAAAAGATGGCATTGGACCCCATCTCACTCCAAAATAAATTTTGTGGGGGCCAGACATGGAAACTCAGAAAAGAACCCCAAAAGCATTCGAAGAAAACACATGGGACCAATCAATAGTCTCAGGATGAAGAAGGCTTTTCTCAGCACGACACAAATGCAGAAGCCATAAACATGTTTTTGATAAATTCAATTACAAATAGTGACATTTCGCATAGATAAAAGGTTTTAAGTCTAAGGATGTGTGACAGACTGAGAAAAACTATTAACTCACATGCCTACAAAGGGCCAGGTCCCTAACAAGCACTCCTATGAATTTGTGAGCAAAGAGCCCCTCACCTCAAGGGAGACGCTCAGACACCTCAACTCTTGCAGCAAAGCCCCGTGGCTACTGGCTAAAAGGCCGGCTTCACCCCTAGTCAGAGAAGGGCAAGCGCACACTATGTGGCAATGGTAGTTTTCCCCTACAGCCTGACAAACATTGGAAGTTCTGATGAGGGATGGCACAGGAGGCGGGTGGAGACAGGCCCCCTGCAATTCGTGGAGTGGGAGCTCAGGGCTGGGAGGCAGCGCCCGCGGACTTCACATGGCACAAGTCCAGCCAGCCTTGCCAGGTCCTGGGATAGTCATGTGGGGTGTTTGCGGGCATAGACATGATTCTCATCACTGCTTTGTCTCAACAGCAGAGCTGGAAACCGGCAGAATGCGCATCCCCCAGGGCAGCAGTGAGTGAAGCTGGTGCCATGCGGCCTTGTGCACTAGGCACCAGGTCCCAGGCTGGCACAGAAGCCCCTCCCAGCCACTGCACGTGGTAACTGGGCAGGAGACCCCTTTTTTCCACCATCTGCCCTTGATTCTGCCTGAAGTTTTTTGAACCAGGAAGACAAAGGAGAGAGTCAGGAGGGAGGCGGGGGTCCCCCTGCGGATTGTGGCAGAGTCAAGGGAGCGCCCGGCAGGTCTGTGGGCTTGGGTACGGACACAAGGCTTCCGGGTGGGCCAGGGTCCTGAGTCGGTGCCTGGCGCTCGAGGCAGTGAGCAGCCGCCCCCTCCCAGGGGCGGGAGGTGGGCCAGGGGATGAGCCCAAGAGAGAGCAGGCTTGTGGAGGAGGCAGGCTTCCCCTCCGGCTCGCAGCCGGTCCCCAGCGCCAGGGTCCGGCTTCGAAGCCACTAGACTCGGCACCCTCTAGGTGGGGCTGAGGCTGGGGCCACCGGAAGGATGTCAGTCTGCGGTCCTCATTCCCTCAGCCTCCTCCCAATCCCCACATCACTCTCCAGGATGTGGGCCAGGGGCTCTGGGGGAACTCCCTCCCTAGATGCCAAACCCCTGTGAGACCAGCCCCCTGCCCTCATCTCCGTGGGTGGGGCCTGTGGGGCACCGGCTTTGCCTGTGGATTCTTGCGTTTGGCCACTGGTTCCACTGTGTCCAGCCACCGGCAAAGCCCCAAGGACCAGGCGCATTTTCTGCTGCTGGAAGCAGGGGCCTGGGCCAGCAGGGAACCTGTGACTCGGAGACAGCGGGCACAGACCCCAGCAGAGGATCGCACAGGGCCAGGCCCAGAGGCCAGTCCTCCCTTCTGGTCTCTGTCCAGACCTTGCACAGATGCCTCAGCTGTGAGCAGGCCCACCTCCCCACTGGGTGTGTCCTGTGTGGTTGCCCAGGTCTGTGTGTGCCCGGCCAGCCCAGGAGAGCAGAGGACTTGTCCACAGGCCTGGGCCCTCCCGCCTCAAGCTGAGAGCATCCTCTGTGGGCCCCATCTGCCACTGGGCAGCCGGGGCGGGGGCCTCCCCTCGGCCTTACTCCCCATTACAGGTGTGGAGGGCCCCCGGCTGCTCTCCAAGGCCTGCTGGCCTCCCGTGGAGACCCAGTCCTCTAGACTCAGCCGGATGGCTGGGTAATGATCCGCGGGCAGCAGGAGGCCTGGTCCA